TTGTATTTGTCAGTTATACTTCAATAAAGCTAAAAAAAATCAAATATTATAGACATCTTTTTGTATTTTGTATGTCTTATCCAACTAAGTCCCAGAAGCTTAACAAAGCACTTAATGTTTGCCCTCACACATTCCTCTCCCATTCCAACTGTCAACCAAAAAGAACCATCAGGGAAAAAATATCTCCAAATATGTTAATTTATTCTTGAATTAGAAAGGAAGATTACAACCTGAGATGTACAGCTATGGCAAGCCAGATACACATCTGAAGAAGGGAGGGTGAAGGGAAGCTTTTATGTTAAAAGGGGTCATGCACGGTGGCACAAGCTTCTAATCCCAGCACTTGGGGAGGCAGAGGCGAGAGGATTGCCTGAGGCCAGGGGTTCGAGACTAGCCTGTGCAACATGGTGAGACCTTCTCTCTACAATAAAACAAAAAAATTAACCAGGTGTGGTGGCACGCACCTGTAGTTCCAGCTACTTGGAAGGCTGAGGTAGAAGGATCACCTGAACACGCCACTGCACTCCAGCCTGGGTGACAGAGAGAGACTACAACTCAAAAAAAAAAAAAGACGCAGCTTACAGAAACTGCTCACATAAACAGAGCTCATTGGATTTGGAGTCTCAAGTTGGCACAGATGTCAGTTCATTGATAGAGACGCTGTTACTGGGGAAGTGTTCTTTGAAGAGCATCATACCTTAATTGCAGCAGTCCTAAAGAAGGAATTTCTTGCTGGGTTATTTTAGAAAGTCCTGAGACAGCCTTTATATCAGACATACAAGCAAGAGCCCTCCCCCTTCATACTCCTGTAGTGTATGAAACACTAGTTTGTCTGGGTCTGACAAAAAGTGAGTCTATCCTGGTATCTACAACTTTTACACACATATCACCATTAAAAAAGCACCAACTGACAAGTCAACATCCCGAAGTCATGCTCCACTTCCCTCTCCCACCTGCCCCTACCAACATCTCCTCCCTATCTGTCCTTCTCTATGGACCTCCATGAACACTGTACCTTGTTCACTAAGCCCAGACCAGGATCATGCTCACTCATTTCCCTCCCCTCCTCCACGTTTGCACCCCTCCAGCTTGCTCTCCACACATTAATCAAAGTGGAAACAACAAACTGGGCACGGTGGGTGGCTCACACATATAATCCCAGGACTTTGGGAGGTGGAGGCGAGAGGATTGCCTGAGTCCAGGGATTTGAGACCAGCCTGGACAACTTGGTGAAACTTTATCTCTATAATAAATCTAAAAATTAGCTAGGTGTGGTGACGTGCAACTGTGGTTCCAGCTACTTGAACGGCTGAGGAGGAAGGATCACCTGAGCCCGGAAGTTCGAGGCTACAGTGGCCAAGAGCATGTTACTACACTCCAACCTAGGCAACAGAAAGTGACCCCTAATCAAAAAAAAAAAAGTGGAAACAGTAGACAGATCACAAAGAGCAATTTTCAAGCTTACCCCCTTTCAAATCTTGCACAGCCCATCTGCTGCCTGCTTATCAGCTTCTCCTCTATTCCAGTTTCTTTCCCTTCTCAAACCGGACACGAGAGCTATGCAGCCTGCCCCTATACCCCAAACTCGATTTCTTCACGACCCTATGACTGCTTCCTGCTCAGACCTGGGGGGGGGAAGGTCTTGGGCAACCCTGCCTACTGTTGTTATGTTCCTATCAGCTTGGTTGCTTTCTTCAGAGAAAAAGTTACAACTGCCACTTTAAAACGATGGTTTCTTGGATTTTGTTGTTGTTGCTAACCTTATAAAGCAGAAATTGTAAGTGTGTAAGTCCATGAGTGTTGCATCCACTGCCACTTAATGATGAATGTTGAATGCTCAAGGAGAGAGGGAGGAGGGAGACAAAGTTTCCACATCCAAGGTGAAAAAATTGAGGAATCCCAGGTCCAATAGGAATACGTGAAATAAACTCATTTGTATGTACCTACATATTTGCTGGTTCATTCACTCATTCATCTGTACAGCTGGGAATCTGTTGGGTCACAGGCCTGAGGCTGGCTGGGCAGATCTATGAAAACAGCTAGCCGTATCACTCTGCCCATAACTCTCGGCCACCATGGTCTGTGGCAGATTTGGAGTCATTTAGATAACGGGGACATAGTACTAGACCCCACTTCACCCCCAACACCTTTTCAGAAAAACAGTTTGTGGAAGCTGAGTACTTCCCAGGCATGACTGAGAAAGCAGAATTCAAAAGACCCAAAAGATATTCCCGCCTGCGTCCTGTCCGCCCTCTCCCGTCCCATGGATGACCTTGAACTGAGCCTGAGCTTTGCTCCCGCAGGAAGGAAGGCGCTTCCCCAACTCCCGGACAGCCCAGCTTTCCCCCACTAGAGGGCTTGGGAGAAAACCCTGCCACAACCTTGGGTGCCCCCTGCCGGCCCCGCCTCGAGATCCCACGGGGGAAGTCTAGCTCCAGCTCCCGGAAGAGTCCCAAGGTCGCCTGCTGCCTACCCTCCCAGAGGGTCTGAGGGCGCCCCAAGCGTGACTTGGCAAAGGTATCTGTTGGTGACAAGAGAGTCCCTGAAGGTGGAGAGCGAAGGCTGAGGTGCTCGGAGGGCCTGGGGCGGGGCGGCGCAGGCGCGTGGAAGTCCGTGGTGACCTTGCGGGCCTCCGAGAAGGTTCTGGAAACCACATCCAGGGACACCCGAGGAATGCGCCACTGGGGACAGGGCAGGCTCTCTGAATTCCAGCGGGGGTAAAGGGAGTGGGTCAAGTCCCAAGTGTAGGGGGCCTGGGCCCACCGACTAGACAAGGGAGGTAGGCTGAGAGAAAAGGGGGGGCGAGGACCATCACTTAGGGGGCACCGGCCCCCCGCACCCTGCATCCCTCAGAGACACGCAGGCCCAGGGCAAGGTCCAGACCTCAGCCCCTCCCTCCTAATCCCAGAAGACTCCCATCACCCCACCTACCCTCACCCTTCGCCCTGCAACTCTTCAGTCTCCTACCTCTCATCTCCCCAGCCCCTCCCCCAAGCCCCGCACTCCCCCCAGCCTCTGCCCTTTCCCCACTGTTGCCCCTTCCCCTACCTCTGTCCCTCCCCCTCCTCTTCCCCACCTCTGGCCCCCAACCTCTGCCCCTCCCTCTCCCTCTGCCCCTCCTTCTACCTTTGCCTCTCCCCCTTCTTCCAACCTCTGCCCCTCCCCCACCCCTAGCCTTGAAAAACAACTTCTTCTAGCGCTCTGGTGGAAATCTCGTGAGATTTCGCCGTGGAAGGTCCGAGAAACGCGAGTAGGTCAGATAAGCCACTTCCCTGGCCCGACCGTTGGGGCGCTTGCTGTGCCAGCGCTGGGTTCTTTCCCTCCAGCGGCTGCACAGGGAGGTGCACGCGGTGGAGGAACTGTGAGTTCAAACCCTGGTTCTTCCATTTTCTCGGAAGGTGACCTTGAACTAGTCCCCAGTCACCACCCTCCCCGGGGGCCCTGTTTTCCATCTGTGAATGGGTTATGGCAGCACAAGGTTGAGGAGAACAGAGTGCCTGAGTCAGTCAGCCCCGGCCACCAGCTCCAGAAAGTCGGCTGCGGTTATGGAGGTGGGGACGCGATCATCCAGGACCGGGCGCCTTTGGGTAGTTTGGTCTCCCCCCACTAGAGTGTGATGGAGGGTGGCAGCCCGAGGAATCAAACTGGCCCTGTGGAGGTGCTAGGAGGCAGAGCATTCAGGTGGGCAGAGATGTGGCAGCAGGACAGCAGTCGCGGCCTTGAGGGAGGGGTCTGTCACTGAGGTTGTCCTCTGGTGCAGCTCGGGGCAGCCATGAAGGGATTCCCACAGTAGGAGCAGGGTCGAGGTCCTGGTTTTCAGTCTTGGCAGCAGATTTTGCCGAGGGTTTCACAGGAGGCCGCTGCTTTGTAAATACATGCGTTAAAACAAAACCTCCTTGTTTTTGGAGCATCGTGGCTTTTATTGCTCTCAGGCCTGCGTGGAAACAGGTGTTGAGACCCAGAAAACAAGTGTCGGAGGCCTGAGGCTAGGCTGAATTGAGGCAAACTGGATCGAAGACGTCATCAGGTAAGATGGTCCAGTCTCTGGTACCCCAGAAACCCTGTCCGTCTCTGTCCTTGTCACTGAGGAGCCAGATGGAGCTACATCCTGAGGCCCTTGAAAGAGAACGAAGAAGCAGCAGTAGCCGCCGCCTTTATTGTCTCAAGCCATTTCCCCAAAAGAGCATTTCCTAAGAATTAACCCTGGTGTGTTGGAGACCCTATTCCCAAAGGTAGAGTTACAGTTGGTACTTCTGCTCAGGTGAATCAGATACCGAAGCCTCGACCTGTGTGTGGTGTCAAGTAGGGAGAGTGCATGAACTCCATTCCTCTGAGAAACTTGGGGCTCACTGCCCGGTGAGCTTGGACACCTGGAGTAGGTCTTAAGAAGTGAACAACAGACTGGGCTCGGTGGCTCAGCCTGTAATCCCAGCACTGTGGGAAGTCGAGGCAACTGGATTGCCTGAGCCTGCAGGTCTGAGTCCAGCCTGGGCAACTTGGTAAGACCTCATTTCTACGATAAATCAAAAATTAGCCAGGCGTAGTAGCATGCACCTATAGTTCCAGCTACTTGGAAAGTTGAGGTGGAAGAATCGCCAGAGTCCAGCAGGTTGAGGCTGCAGTGGCCGGGAGCATGCCACTGAACTCCAGTCTGGGCAACAGGGTGAGACTCCAACTCAAAAAAAAAAAAAAAAAAGTGAACAACAGTATTGCACAGCTTTATCCTCAGGTGCTGCCAGAGAGGTCAGGCAGGCCATATGACCTCACTCGGAACCGGAGACTGGACCTAGGACCTGAGGCTCAAGGACAACCTTGTGCATTGGGGGTGTGTGCGTGTGGGGCTGTGTGCAAGTGCTGTTGGCACCAGGACACCTGGCTGCAACCCCTAATGTTGTTGCTGCTTTCAGCGCAGGAAATGGTGACATTATGTCCCAAAACCCTAGATTCTGAGAGTGGCTATGTCAGGGTGGATTGAGCCCAAGACCCTGAGAGTAGTAAGCATGCAGAGAAGAGAGGTCAGAGTCATGACCTCAGGGAAGCTTGGGAGGACTAAGAAGGGTCAGCCCTAAGCTACCAGAAGGTCCTCTTTTGTCAGACACGGTGACTGATGCCTGTAATTCCAGCACTTTGGGAGGCCAAGGCAAAAGGATCGCTTGAGGCCAGGAATTCAAGACCAACCTGGGCAACACAGTGAGACTTCTTCCTACAAAAAATAAAAATAAAAAATTAGCCAGGTGTGATGATACAGGCCTGTAGTCCCAGCTACTCAGGAGAGAGAGATGGGTGGATCATAAGTCCAGAAGTTCAAGACTTCAGTAAACCAGGATCATGCCCCTGCACTTCAGCCTGAGCTACAGAGACCCTTTCTTTAAAATTTAAAATTAAAAAAAGCCAAGCGCAGTGGCTCAGCCTGTAATCCCAGCACCCTGGGAGGCTGAGGCAAGAGGATTGCCAGGCCCAGAGGTTGGTGACCAGCCTGGGCAACCTGGTGAGACTTCGTCTCTACAATAAATCAAAAAATGAACCGGGTGTGGTAGCGCATGCCTGTAGTTCTGGCAACTTGGAAGGCTGAGGTGGAGGGATTGCTGGAGCCCAGCAGATCGACCCTGGAGAAGCCATGAGTGTGCCACTGCTCTCTGGCCTGAGCCACAGAGTGAGACTCCGAGGTCCTCCTTAGCATCTCTCTGTGCAGAGAGCAAGAAGAATGGGCTCTCCTCTCCACACCCTTCTCCCTGCCTCAGTTGTCAGAAGAGCCTCCACACAGATCCTGGAGGTGAGGGGGCACCAGTGAATTTGTTCTGGTAAAGGAATGCGGGCTGGGGAAGTGTTTCTTCCCAGAAATTGCTCTGAGTCTGTACCCAAGATGGTTAGAGCTGCTGAACTGATGTGCTTCAACACAGTGAGCCCAGGCCTTTTGAGATTTTCAACTGGGAATATCTTGTTCTCTTCCCTCATCCTCCTGGAAAACGTGGGAGGGTCCACAGAATACCACTGAATACGTCTGCTGCGCCCCCAGACTGTGATGAGGCTGCCATTCTTGTTCCTGATTTTTGTCCATGGTGGCTGCACAGAGAGTGCGATATCCCCATTCTAGCTCAACTTTTCCAGGCATGCCCACAGCAGGCTGGTACAAGTGCTGTAGGGACCCCTGGACCAGGCACAGGGACCGTGTTCCTGTGACACCCTCCCATGCCCTGATGGTGATTCATGTGCATATGACTCTCCCTTTTGAGTATCAGTTACTGCACCTGGAAAGGAAAAAAGTCCATTAAAGACCACTGCTGATGTTACATGTCTTGAGAAAGGAACTAAGACCAGGAAAGCAAAATGCTTTGGTAACTATTTCAGTTCTACCAGACATGTGGAATTCTTTCTGCTACATCATTGTGATACAAAAATCTGGTTCATGCAGCTTCGAGCTCCCATCCCCATCTCCCAGAGAAGAGTAAATGAAGAAAATGGTTGTGAAGAAAAATATGAACAGGTCTCAGAGGAAGTGACAGCAGCAAAAGTCTTCACATTGAAGCCACTCAGAGATAATGTCACGACATAGAAAGCACAAACGGTAGATTGTTGGAAGATAATCCAAACTTAGAAAGCAAGGTGACAGTTCACCAAGGCTTAGAAAATTTGCTGTCTTCATGTCAAAAATTAGGCCAGGTGTGGTGGCTCATGTCTATAATCCCAGCACTTTAGGAAGTGGAGGCAAGAAGATTGCCTAAACCCGAGGGTTTAAAGACCAGCTTGGGCAACTTGGCAAGACTTCATCTCTACAATAAATCAAAAAAATTAACTGGGCACAGTGGCATGTGCCTGAGGTTCCAGCTATTTGGAAGGGTGTGGCAGAAGGATTGCCTGAGCCCAGCAAGGTTAAGGCTGTGGTAGCCGTGAGCATGCCACTGCATTCCAACCTGAGGAGCAGAGTGAGACTCTAACCCCCCTCCCAAAAAAAAATTATACCAAGATGAGGAGCCAAGCACTGTTGAGACCACTCTTGATAATGTTTCTCACAAAGCAGCAAAACATTTTAATTCTCAATATTTAAATCATGATGTACTCAATAAATATTAGGTTTTACTATTTTTTCCTCTCTTATGCATATATAACTATAGAGAGTTCTTAACACTTTGACCAAAAAAATAGTAATGACCACAGCAAAATCATACCTTTGCATATGGCTTGTTAAGATTGTTTTGCACAATTTCCATTTGCACAGTCATGACCCTGCTTCACCATGCAAAGCAAAGTCAGCCTGTGGTTAATTTAAAATTCAGCTCATTTCTTTCTCATAATGTCCAGGTGTCAGAGATACCCTGAAAAGAAAACCATGACATTTTTGCTGGGTGTTACTCTTTGTCACCCAGAATAACAGTTGATGTTCCTTAGACCTTCAACAAAAGTATTTGAATAAATCGAGGTAAGACATCAGCTGTATTAAACACTTGCCTGGGCCACGTCCAAAGGCCCAGCCTGCCCCAGTGCCTCCTCCCGGCCCTCAACACAGACCCAGAAGATTTTTTTTTAGTCAGATGTGAGGCCAATGCCCCTGGGACCCCTGAGGATTATTGCTTCCCTCCTTTGATCCAGTGGAAAAAAATGTCAAGCAGAATGCGTTTACTCTCATCCACCGTGACCTTCCTATGGCTTGGAGATTTAGAATTCCAGCGTTTCTCTTCTTTCTTGGAATCCCTCTGTTCCTTCCAGCCTGAAGTGATGTCACATGTCCCCGCCACCCCAACCATTCTTGCAGAAGCACAGCCCTTGAGGTAAACTGCCTGAACTTAGAGTGACCTTGTCATCATGTTTAGGTCTAGAGATGATTGAATTGGAAGTGAGCCAGACTCTTGAGTACTATAAGCCAACAGAGACTTTAGGGTCTTAAAAAGTCACCTAGAGCAAAATACGCCCATATGTCAGAGTAATAAGAGCCTGACTCTGGAGATGAAAAGTGATTTCCTGGATCCCAGGTGGAATCTTGTCTGTTCAAGGGTTGGGAAGAGAACCAAAGAAGAGAGCTATTGGTGTAGGAACTGGTCTCTAGGTCTCTCATCAGAAGAAAAGAAGAGTCAGGGTCTTCCTTTGGAACCCAGGTGGGAGTGTCCTTCAGCATTCTCCATGCCTCTCTGGATCCAGAAAAGCAGCTGGACTTTTTTTGTCCTACACCTTGTGCCTTGTTCTCCAAAATAGCTCAGTAGAATTGAGAATTATTTGATTTCTGTGGATGTCTGCAGAAGTGTGTCTTCTAGTATCTTGGCCACATCACCAGCTCCAGGAGTGGTGGGCTGATGTTCCAGGGGTACAGAAGGAACACAGGCCAGGAAAGGCAAACTGGAAGCACAGACATGTTCTAAAGACCTGAATGAGGACCCAGGGCATCCCCATTGGGATTCTGTGACTGGGGAAGGGGTTGCAGAACACCCCTATGATGAGCTCAGAGGCTACTCTGGCCTGTGCAGCCAATGAGGACCATGAGGAAAACAGACAACCAGAAAATGGGAGAAATTTTCTTCACATCCATGCCTGGACCCAGTCTTTTTGCTCTTCTCTGACATTGGAGGAAGGGTGGAACCTTTGTGCACATAGTGTTTCTGGTGTTCCTTCTTCAATGCCACAGCTTATCTTCTGGATAAACAGGTTCTGCCTGTAGGTAGACAGAGAAGTGTCCACTGCCTCATGGGAAAAGTGTTCAGCTTGTACCTCCTCATGGTTCCTCCTGCCTTCTTGGGTCTTCTGGAAGTTGGGATCCCATTGAAACTTCCCAAGCTTTTGGACTTGTGTGATTTTCTTGTTTTCTGTGGTTCGCATGAAGTCTGCCAGTCAGCTCTTTCTACATTTAGGTAAACCATTGGGGAGGAGAACACAAATCCATCTAAATTCACATGAGTTCTAACAATTACTCCCCACATGGATCGGAGCAGATTCTTCCCCTGACAGAGTCCTGTATTCACCAGACCAAGAATGAAAATGAACTTTAAAATTTCCACAAAGGTGCAGGCACAGTCACTCATGCTTGTAATCCCAACTTTTTGGGAGGCCAAGGTGAGAGGATTTGCCTCAGCCCATGGGTTCAAGACTAGCCTGGGAAATTTAGTGAGACCTCATCTCGGCAATAAATTACAAAAAAAAATTAAAATTAGCTGAGTGTAGTGGTACACACCTGTGGTTTCATCTACTTGGAAGTCTGAGACAGAAGGATTGCCTGAGCCCAGCAGGTTGAGAGTGTGGTGGCTGTGTGCATGCCACTGCACTTCGGCCTAGGCAACAAAGTGAGAAACTAAATAAAAATATATTGTGAGGGAAATGGTGTTGATATTTGTGCACTGTGCTTAATACAGAGAGAGAAAGAAAAAAACTGAGTTTAATTTACGTGACTGGTGGCAGCTCTATGATCAGAGTCTCTTGTACCTGAGAAACTTAGAGAGCAAGAAAGGTTTTCTTTGAGGCTCTGTTTGCATCACCCATTTACTAGGATTGAGAAAACATCAGTTATCAGCATAAATTTGGGAAGGAGCATTGGGTTCATGTTTGGATACAGGTCCCTGGAAAAATGTTTGGGCCTGATCTGCTTCCTATGAACAGTCTGAATGTGGACATCCGCCCTAATGAAAGGTCTTCTGGTAACTGCTTTGATGGCAAGGATATGTGCACTTGGCCCATGTTTCTTTCCCAGGCTCCAAGATCCCAAAGAAACTACAGCTCTAATCTCTTACTGGCTTTCAGATTGAAAAAGTTCCTATCGAGACTTTGGGTCACCAATATTACCTCTGGCCTTGCCCCAGTCCACATTCATAGATTTAATCTTCCCAAGCCTGTTTGCCAACAATATCCTGACTTTTTGGGAGAAAATACTCTTTACCTTCAGAGGAAGATTGAATCGTCCTCCCTACCTCATTGATTTCCTTGGCTTTACAGGATCTACCTTGTGTCTCTCTCAGCCACTCCCCTTTCAATTTCTCAACTCTGCCAATTTGAGAGTAAAAGTCTGTCAATTCCTCAAACAAAACCTACTTTTTTTTTTTTTTGAGTCAGAGCCTCATTCTGTTGCCCAGGCTGGAATGCAGTGGCATGCTCACAGTCACCGCAGCCTCAACATGCTAGGCTCAAGCAATCAGTCTACCTCAGCCTTCCAAGTAGCTGGAACTACAGGTATTACTATGCCCAGCTAATTTTTGATTTATTGTAGAGATGAGGTCTTGCCAAGTTTCCCAGGCTGGTCTCGAACCCATGGACTCCAGCAATCCCCTCACCTCGGCCTCCCACTGTGCTGGGATTATAGGCATGAGCCACCATGCCTGGCCCACAAAACATATCTTAACTTTGTCTTGAGTAATCCACTCAGCCACATTACAAGTGCTCAGTCCCACTTCAGGTCAGCCTTGACCTTCAAGTTTTAGAAGACCATCCGTTCCTCAGTTTTACCTCTGTTCCTCCCTAAATGGGTATGTGAGTTACTGTGTGTGACAATTTGATATCCATGGATTTTTAGGTTTTTTTTTTCTCTATGGATGACATCACACTCTTTATAAAGCTGTCTTAACTCCAATATCTGGGTAGTTTACATGTGGCCTAAAATTGCCCTAACAGTTACGCTTTCAGTATGGTTTTGTTTTCTGTCTTTTCCTTTTATAAAGGGAAATAAAGTTCAATCAATTGAATCTGGAGAAAGTCAACACCCAATGAGGAATTATTGGTTGGAGATCCAGTAATGTAATCAAACATGGCTGTCATTGGCAGCATGAAGCTGGAAGGGGGAGATGTACCCAGAAGGGCTAGTAATAACTTTTTAGGAGTCATAGGGGGTCCCAAAGCCCTGGAGCATTAAAGTCATTGGTGTAGTTCTCCCTGATTTCTGGGCAGATGGCTCTGGGCACTGCACCTGGATTTGGTGAGTTAGGAACAGTAAGCAGCCAGGGTTTCCAGGGCCCATGCAAGGCCAACACTGCGTAGACAGTTTTTTCTTTTATTTTCCTTACAAATGAGCAGGCTTTGCTCTTTACTCTAAATACAGTTTTGCCTTAAATTCCAAACATTTTTCTTTTAATTTTGGGATTTATTTTTTAATGGATACAAAAAATTGTATATTTATGGGATGCATGTGAAATTTTGGTACATGCATACAATATGTAATGATCAAATTATGATAATTAAGATATCCAGTACCATGAACATGTATCATTTCTTTGTGCTGAATGCTAAACATTTTTATTTCTGACATTTTGTATACTTTTTTTTTGAGTTGGCATCTTACTCTAGACTGGAGTGCAGTGGCATGCTCACAGCCACCACAGCCTCAACCTGCTGGACTCAGGCAGTCCTTCCACCTCAACCTTCCAAGTAGTTGGAACCACAGGCACGCACCACAACGCCTGGCTAATTTTTTGATTTATTGTAGAGTTAAGGTCTCACCAAGTTGCTCAGGCTGATCTCAAACCCCTGGGCTCTGGCAATCCTCTCTCTTCAGCCTTCCAAAGTACTGGGATTACAGGCGTGAGCCACCACTCCTGGCCCATTTTATATACATTTGAGATAATTTATTAAACTGCTTTTTTGGAGAGTAAAAACATCTAATTAGAATTTTACTTTATTATATTTTAGATATTTAGTGTGTGGCCAGTGATGATAGCTTGTATCTTATTTTGTTAACTAAAAGCCTAAAAAATATTCAAGATTGTGGAAGGCTGAGGCAGAAGGATCGCCTGATCCCAGCTAGGATGACAGAGACTCCGACCCAAAAAAAAAAAAAATTCAAGAGTGGAGGCTTTTTCAAGACAACATGGTGACTGTAGATCATAACAATAAATTGTACTTTTGAAATTGCTGACTGACCCAGTGGCTCATGCCTATAATCCCAGCACTTTGGGAGGCTGAGGTGAGAGGATTGCCTGAGCCCATAGGTTCAAGACCAGCCTGGGCAACTTGGCAAGACCTCATCACTACAGTAAATAAAAAAATTGCCGGGCTTGGTGGCTCAGCCTGTAATCTCGCGCCTTTGGGAGGCTGTGAGTGGATTGCCTGACCCCGCGGGTTTGAGACCCACCTGGGCAACTTGGCGAGACCTCATCTCTACAATAAATCAAAAAATTAGCCGGGCGTGGTAGTGCGCACCTGTAGTTCCAAGCTACTTGGAAGGCTGAGGCGGAAGGATCGCCAGAGCCCAGCAGGTCGAGGCTGCGGTGGCCAGGAGCGGCCACTGCACTCCAGTCTAGGTGACAGAGTGAGACTCCAACTCAAAAAAAAAAAAAAAAAATTAGGTAGGCATGATGGCACATGCCTATAATTCCAGCTACTTGGAAGGCTAAAGTGGAAGGATCATCTGAGCCCAGCAGGTCAAGACTGCAGTGGCCGTTAGCATGCCACTGCACTCTAGTCTGGGTGACAGAGTGAGACTCCAACTCAAAAAAAAAAAAAAAAAATTAGGTAGGCATGATGGCACATGCCTATAATTCCAGCTACTTGGAAGGCTAAAGTGGAAGGATCATCTGAGCCCAGCAGGTCAAGACTGCAGTGGCCGTTAGCATGCCACTGCACTCTAGTCTGGGTGACAGAGTGAGACTCCAACTCAAAAAAAAAAAAAAAAAATTAGGTAGGCATGATGGCACATGCCTATAATTCCAGCTACTTGGAAGGCTAAAGTGGAAGGATCATCTGAGCCCAGCAGGTCAAGACTGCAGTGGCCGTTAGCATGCCACTGCACTCTAGTCTGGGTGACAGAGTGAGACTCCAACTCAAAAAAAAAAAAAAAAAATTAGGTAGGCATGATGGCACATGCCTATAATTCCAGCTACTTGGAAGGCTAAAGTGGAAGGATCATCTGAGCCCAGCAGGTCAAGACTGCAGTGGCCGTTAGCATGCCACTGCACTCTAGTCTGGGTGACAGAGTGAGACTCCAACTCAAAAAAAAAAAAAAAAAATTAGGTAGGCATGATGGCACATGCCTATAATTCCAGCTACTTGGAAGGCTAAAGTGGAAGGATCATCTGAGCCCAGCAGGTCAAGACTGCAGTGGCCGTTAGCATGCCACTGCACTCTAGTCTGGGTGACAGAGTGAGACTCCAACTCAAAAAAAAAAAAAAAAAATTAGGTAGGCATGATGGCACATGCCTATAATTCCAGCTACTTGGAAGGCTAAAGTGGAAGGATCATCTGAGCCCAGCAGGTCAAGACTGCAGTGGCCGTTAGCATGCCACTGCACTCTAGTCTGGGTGACAGAGTGAGACTCCAACTCAAAAAAAAAAAAAAAAAATTAGGTAGGCATGATGGCACATGCCTATAATTCCAGCTACTTGGAAGGCTAAAGTGGAAGGATCATCTGAGCCCAGCAGGTCAAGACTGCAGTGGCCGTTAGCATGCCACTGCACTCTAGTCTGGGTGACAGAGTGAGACTCCAACTCAAAAAAAAAAAAAAAAAATTAGGTAGGCATGATGGCACATGCCTATAATTCCAGCTACTTGGAAGGCTAAAGTGGAAGGATCATCTGAGCCCAGCAGGTCAAGACTGCAGTGGCCGTTAGCATGCCACTGCACTCTAGTCTGGGTGACAGAGTGAGACTCCAACTCAAAAAAAAAAAAAAAAAATTAGGTAGGCATGATGGCACATGCCTATAATTCCAGCTACTTGGAAGGCTAAAGTGGAAGGATCATCTGAGCCCAGCAGGTCAAGACTGCAGTGGCCGTTAGCATGCCACTGCACTCTAGTCTGGGTGACAGAGTGAGACTCCAACTCAAAAAGAAAAAAAGCGTATCTCAGAATTTGTGTTTTCTTATTTTACTTCTAAATGGTACGTAATAATATCACACTGCTTTTATGGTTTCTCATTTAAAAATCTTTAATGAGCCGGGCTCGGTGGCTCAGCCTGTAATCCTGTGCCTTTGGGAGGCTGAGGTGAGTGGATTGCCTGAGCCCACGGGTTCAAGACCCGCCTGGGCAACTTGGCGAGACCTCATCTCTACAATAAATAAAAAATGAGCCGGGCGTGGTAGCGTGCATCTGTAGTTCCAGCTACTCGGAAGGCTGAGGCGGAAGGATTGCCGGAGCCCAGCGGGTTGAGGCTGCGGTGGCCGGGAGCGGCCACTGCACTCCAGTCTGGGTGACAGAGTGAGACTCCAACTCAAAAAAAAAAAAAAAAAAAAAAAATCTTTAATGAAATACGGCACTCATTGTTCATGTGTTCCTTGTCTTTCCCATCTGGCTTATTTGTTGGAGCAGAGAAGCAGGCTATCTTGGGTCACATACACTCTCACTCTCATTTTGCTTGAGTGGTAATCAGAAAATTTCTCCAAAAGGGCGTGGTAGGCTGGGCACTGTGGCTCACTCCTATAATTCTAGCACTTTGGGAGGCCAAAGTGAGAGGGTTGCCTGAGCCCCCAGGTTTGAGACCAGCCTGGGCAACTTGGTGAGACCTCATCTCTACAATAAATAAAAAAATTAGCCGGGCATGGTGGCATGTGCCTATAGTTCCAGCTACTTGGAATGCTAAGGCGGAAGGATCACCTGACCCCAGCAAGTTGAGGCTGTTGTGGCCAGGAGCATGCCACTGCTCACCAACCTGGGTGACAAGAGTGAGATACCAAAAAAAGGGTGGGGGGCAGGGTTAGCTTTCAGGCTTCTTGGTACTCTCTTGTGGGGGGATGGATAGAGTAGAGCATTGGGTGAATATGGAATGGGGTCAGTGGTCATCCTGCCCTTTTTCAAGGCTTGATGGATTGTTTGTCCTGGTGCTATCAGAGGCAGAGTTATTGTGGCCACCAAGTGCAAAATGGAATCAGGTAAACTGAGTACTCCCGTATTGTTGCCAGTGCAGTGACTTTGGTCCCTCAACAGGTGGGGAGAAGATGGAGTTGCTTGCACTTGACCTGAGAAGGATGGTTTTTGTTCCTGTGTGTTTTCTCAGTGTTCCTTGCGCAGCAGATTCTTCAACATGAGCATGTGGACAAGCCCACGGAGACTCCTAGAACTGGCTGTGCAGAGCCTGCTGAGGAGTGAAGCCTTGACCATCACTGCTCTGGAGGAGCTGCCCAGGGAGCTCTTCCCACCACTGTTCACAGCAGCTTTCACCGGGAGACACAGCAAGATCCTGAAAGCGATGGTGCAGGCTTGGCCCTTTGCCTGCCTCCCTCTGGGTTCTCTGATGAAGGAAGAGCAGCCTCCCTGGGAAGTCTTCCAAGCTATGCTGGATGGACTCGATGTGCTGCTTGCCCAGAAGGTTCGCCCCAGGTGAGAGTGATCAGGCAGCCTGGTAGGGACCTGGGAATCTTGAGCAAGACACAGCTGGGGTCAGGGAGTATGGAGAGCCAAGGAGTGGGCCAGAGGCTTCTGATGGTGCCAGTGAAGAAGCTTAGGCAGGTCTTGGGGTCACTCTGGGAATGGGCTCCAAATGTGGAAATGATTGAGATGCAGAAGTGTCTGAAGGGACATGTACCTGTTTGTTCCTAATGGTATAGGAAGTGGGGGCTAGGAAGGATACTATGATCTTAGTGGGAAAGGGAGTAGCTGATGCTTGGAGTACAGAGTCAATGTGCAAATCAGACATGGACATCTGGTTCTTATCTAGATTTGTGGTTTTACTCTGAGTTATCATAAAGCATCTCAGCTAATTACCTATTTTCCACAGGAGGTGGAAACTACAAGTGCTGGATTTACGGACGAATGCTCATCAGGACTTCTGGCCTATATGGTCTGGAACCAGGGTCAGTGTGTGCTCATTGCTGGAACCAGAAGCAGCCCAGCCCATGAGGAAGAAGCGAAAGGTGGATGGTTCAAGCATGGGGGCAGTGCAGCCATTGGGTCCTGTGGAGGTGCTCGTAAACCTGTCCTTAAAGGAAGGCACCATGTCCCTCAAGGAAGGCGCCATGTCCCTTAAGGAAGATGCCCAAGATGCATTGCTTAAATACCTCATTGAGAAAGTTAAGAAGAGGAAAGGTTTACTACACCTGTGCTGTCAGAAGCTGAGTATTTTTGCAATGCCAATGCAGAATATTAAGATGATCCTGAAAATGGTACAGCTGGACTCTGTTGAAGATTTGGAAGTGAATTGTACCTGGAAGCTATCTACCTTGGGGAAGTTTTCTCCTCACCTGGGCCAGATGAGTAATCTGCGTAGACTCCTTATCTCCCACATCCATATGTCTTCCTACACATCCTCAGAGAAGGAGGAGCAGTGTATCACCCAATTCACCTCTCAGTTCCTCAGTCTAAACCATCTCCAGGTGCTCTATTTGGACTCTATCTCCTTCCTGAAAGGCCGCCTGGACCAAATGCTCAGGTGAGGGATAGTGAGGTGTCTCTGCAGACCAGAGAAAGCCTTTCTTTATTGCAGTAAACAGTGGTGGGCATCTTCTTTGTATGCCAGTCACCTACAGTACAACAGTGAATGAGTCACTACAAGTCAACACGTTGTCTTGTTCATTGCTGAACCCAAGCTTGGTATCACATAACTACTCAGATAAAGGTTAGAGGTATATCCTAAGATAGGCATTGTGACTCCCTTCTAGGAAACTCTAATGGGTGGGTTAAGTCCTGGCAAATGTGACTTTGGGAATTCATCCTTAGGAAGTGAAGTCTAAGATGACCAAAATAGCTAAGCAAGGAAGAGGGAAAAGCCCATAAAATGTGAGGTGTCAGCCAGGCTCGGTGACTCAGCCTGTAATCCCGCGCCTTTGGGAGGCTGAGGTGAGTGGAT